AATGGAGTATGAAAATATAAAAAGAAAAATGAACAAGAGTTTGTTGAAATAGGCGCGGTCTTCATTGAAAGATACAATACAATACTTCGAATCTGTATCATCAAATGCCAATAATACGAAGCAAAAAAGATTGTTATTCTTTTTTCTCTTCTTTTTTGCCTTCCTATTAGTTATATTTTTTTTTTGTTGAATATTTTTCAGATATTTTAAATACTATTGTCTCATTCATTATTTATTTATTCATATTATTCTCGCATATAATGTTGAAAACGAGGATAATTTTGATATTGATGATATTTTCTATGATTTATTCAGTCTATAGTACATATCATTATGTTGGTTGCTATAAAAAAGTATTCTATAATGATTATTTCATGAGTTCATATATGGAACCAAACTTATGTTTTATTTTATGTGAAACACCAATTGTTTATCTACAAGATAACATTTGTCGATGTTCAGGTGTTGGTCTTACGGATCATAATCGAGTAACAGATGATTTTTGTACAATAAAATGCAGAAAAGCAGGTAATCGTAAAGTTCAAACAATGAATACATGTGGAGGAAGAGAAACATATTCAGTTTATGCTGAAGAAAAATATTACATTCAATATGCTCATTTATTTAATTTTCGAATTCAATTTAAATCATGTCAATTATGGAATACTTCTGGTTTTTATGATACATTACAAGTGAAAATTAATGAATTATATGTTGAAACCCAATTGACGAAATTAGAACGTTGTGCAGCTACATGTCTCAATCAAAATGCTACAACAAAATCTATAGGTAAAAGTAGTACTAGGTGGGAAATAATATTTTGCCAGGGGGGTATCGCTATAATTTCAAATAGAAGACATAATGAATTCTATATCAAATGAAAGCTCGTCAAAAATGGGGTTTATTGATACTAAATAGTAAGGATTATTAACACTTTTTAATATCGAACTTAAGAAACTTTCAGAAATTTTATACTTTTTTGGGGGTGGAAAAGTAATGTGCCAATAATTGAAAAATGAATTAAAATGTTTTGCTTGGATATTTTTACATGGTTCGATAGAGCTCGTCGAGCGCTACAAAACTGTATATATTGAAAATTTTTTGAGTCTTTTTCTTTTGATAAAAATTTTAAAAAACTATTTGGAAAATCTTAAAAAATGTTTAAAAAGTCATATTTTTAATATGGAAGAAAAACACTCGAATTTTCAATAAAATTTCCTTTTTTCTGATTATTTTTATTTCGTCAGATGTTTCGAAATATATTCATTCGATGCAGGTTTTCACGCTGCATCGAATGAATATATTTTCAAACATTTTACATAAGGATACTAATGGAAAACAGCTGAATTTAGTGTAAAAAGGACCACTTTTTTCTCCCTATAAAAAGTGTAAAAAAAGAGGATTTTTCGGTACATTCTATAGACAGTTTTCAGTGAATTGTAACCCAACAACTCTGTTTGAAAATTTTTTAGCATATATAGTTTTGTAGAGCTCGATGAGCTCTATCGAACCATGTAAAAATATCCAAGAAAAACATTTTAATTCATTTTTCAATTATTGGCACATTACTTTTCCACCCCCAAAAACGTATAAAATTTCTGAAAGTTTCTTAAGTTCGATATTAAAAAGTGTTAATGATCCTTACTATTTAGTATCAATAAACCCCATTTTTGACGAGCTTTCATTTGATATAGAATTCATTATGTCTTCTATTTGAAATTATAGCGATACCCCCTTGGCAAAATATTATTTCCCACCTAGTATATGTAGAATTACGTCATAATCATTGACAGTTTATCCAACTAACGGCTATTTATCATAGTTAAAGTTGAATAGAAAATTTCTTGAATTTTTCCATTCAAATTTTTTTGAAAAATAAGTTTCTATTGATAAATTTCATCTGTTTTGAATAATAACGAGAAGAAATAGTAGTCGCCAGTAAAAATCAAGCAATTTTTTTTAGTGAAAAAATGACTTTATTGTATGTTACCCCTATCGAATACTACTTCATCATCACATAAAATAGAATTAATAGTGGTATTATTTCAGATTTGAGCTAGAGTTTGACATCGATGTATCATCTTCTGTTGTTGTTGTTAAAACGATAAGTAAATGTGGCATTTTCAAGGAGTTCAAAAAGAAAATTTAGCAGTACATTATCTTAATGTTTTAGTAATAATTCTTCATACGATCAAGCTTCGAAAAAACGTACTTCACCATCATCAGATCTGTTATGTCTTAGGTTCAAGTACAAATAAAAGTATTTTGATCAGAATGGAAAATTTTTATAGAAATGTCAATTTATTTTAGTAGCTCTAATGGAAGAGATCCTTTTAAATGAATGCATTACTATAATTTTCTATCATTCTAGAATCGTTGCAGTTCAATCAAATAAAAGAAAGGTTTAAGTAAAACTACTGCCCATTTCAAAAAAAAAAAGAAGGCGAGTGGATATTCTTTGAATAACTTTTGAAAGAAACAAGATAGAAAGCTACGGTTTTCACCGTTGGAAAGAGGCAATAAAACTACATCGATTTATATATTTCAGATGTTTTTCTGACAAGTATTTTAATGATTTTTCCACGAATATTTTTAAAAAATCAACGATTTTAGACGTGAAAAAATGGATTTTTTTTTTATTAAAGACTAGGAAAAAAAGCGATATTTTTTCGCTAAAAATCGACCGAAAACACACAGTAACATGTTGAAAACACTCAAGATTAGCTAAAGGTAATAATGTCGAGTTTATATTGCTGATAGAACTTTCGTTAGTGATTCTAGTGTCCACCTGAAAATCAAAAGTCCATAATATTCACATGATGGACCGTTTTGACTTTTGAAAACTTATCGAGGAGCCCTTAAGATACTTGTCAGAAAAATATCTGAAATACATAAATCGATGTAGTTTCATTGCTTCTTTCCAACGGTGAAAACCGTAGCTTTCTATCTTGTTCCTATCAAAAATTATTCAAAGAATACCCACTCGCCTTCTTTTTTTAAAAATCAATTAGTATACAATCAGAAAAACTCTAAGAACAAAATAGTTTATAATCCTTACTACATAGAACTTCTAAGAACAAATAGTTTCTCTAGATTTTTCTTATCCCTTGAAGAATTATTAAAAACTATGGACACATGAAAATCTTTGTAACAAATTCATTTTTGAAAGGAACTTAATGTCACTAAATTACTTGACTAATTCGAAATTGTTTGAATAGATTTCATTCATTCGATCTTAACTAACAATCAGAGAACGTTTAATACTTTCTGTAATTATTAATGATTTCTAAAGTGTTCGAAATAATTTGTATCATAGTTTCGTCTTAGTGTTCTATTAGAAAATCAATTTTCGAAGTATAAACTGAATTATACTATACTATATAGAAAAAGTATTTTTGAAATATCAAAAATTATAAAAGTTTGTAATGTTTATTTTAAGCTTTCAACGATGATAATAATCAATGTTTATGTATAATATCACATGAATTCAATCTAAATTCTGATAATATTCATCATTTAACAATTTTATCCAAAGATAATTGTGATCGTTATTGTGATAACATATTAATAAATTCAAATATTCAAGAAAAATTTTCATGTGGTTCTTTAAATGATTCACATATATGGTCTATTTATAATTTAAATTCTATATGTCCAATTGGTTCAATTTATATAGAAGAATTAGAAAAATGTATATCAATAAATAAAGGAATATTTAATTCTTGTCCATTACCTTCAATGAATTATATTTATAATGGAAAACCAACATGGAATATTTTTTTAAAAGCTATTAGAAAATTAAACTTAACAAAAACTATTCTTTCCATAGATTTCAATGATAATTTTACTATTGATTCTTCATGGTTATGTTCAACAAATAATAATAATACTATTAATTCAAATGATTCTAACAATAATTCTAGTACATCATACATATTAGATAATAATTGTTTACGTATTCGTTCTAATTCACATTTATTATCGACTCATTTATGTATGACTAATTCTTTCGCTGATGAATCCTTATCATATAATATTAAAGGTTATTCCAGTTCTCCATTATATACTCAAAAGAAAATCGATATATGTCCACCCTCATGGTTCGATATAAACACAGATTGTTATCAAATATCAAATAGACGTAAAACAATTCAAGAAGCAAGAAATAGCTGTAGTGATTTTCTAAAATCAATCAGTATGTTTCCACGAAAAACACTGAAGATATTATTCAATTTGTTTTTTCACCAAGTTTATGATGTATCGATCAAAGGAATGTTTGAAAAAATAGCTGCTGCAATGGATATAAGTGATGATGAAGTTGTACAGTACACATCAAAATGGCAAGTTCCTCTTGGCTTTTTTCTTCTTCATACAAGTAAATATTTATATAAGTTCTCTTGATTTTTTCTAGCTAGTTATTTATAACTATTTAAATCTTATTGCTCGACTTGCGAAATAGCTTAGAACTAAGTAAAGACAAATATACAAGGGAGAAATAGCAGACTTGAAGCTATCGTTATCTTTCGAATAACATTTCTTATTCCATTTAATTGATTAATAAGCATAGAAATCTACAGTTGTAATTATCAAATAGTCAAAACATAATAGATTAGAATTTCAAGTAGTAGCTATCCGAAATACTGATTCAATATTGTCCAATGACAACATCCATCCGGAAAGGATTAAGTAACATGTAAAATTTGACACGAATAAAAATATATATTGTTGATGAGTTTTGTTTCTAACAAAAATGATTGTTTATAGATGCATCAAATGCTGAATCAGAAATCTCATATACAAACGAATTTCAAAAATTAGTTTCTGATATTGATTTCAATCTATCATCTATAAATGAATTTCAAATGATTAATTCAAATTATGATAATAATTCATGCTTAGTTTTTAAACGTTCAATTACCGATGAAAAACAAACATATTTTACTTTAAAAACAAATCAAATTAATAATTGTTCGAAACCACAACATGTTTTATGTAAAATGAAGTACAGTTTTGATTTAAACGCTCAAGAAATTTGTTATCGAAAGCCATTAACACTTGGTTTTCCTGTTATAATATCTAACTATTTAACAATTGAATTATGTTTATCTGTTTGTAGCATATTACAAAAACAATTGGCTGTTATTAATATGAATAAATGTTATTGTATCGATCAAACTAATAAGAATTTTATTTATGACATTACCATTGATGGAAATTATCGAACTAAAAATTGTGGAAATCCTTGTCCAGGTATGTTTGATAGATGAATATCGTTGTTTTTACATTTCAACACTTTATAAGCGAGGAAAAAATTCCAAATTGTTTTACAACAACAATTATAAACACAGAAATTTTTCTGAAAATTACCTCATTAATATAATATGACAGAAGATTTTCAAATGACAACAAAAAGATTTTTACTAATAGAAAATTCATTTAATTAGCAAAAGTACAATGAATCTCCACTCTAGTAACGACTGATTTCGCAGCATTTCATTTCTTTACATTTTTAAATATAATTTTGTGCACAGGAAAATTGATTGACGCAAAAAAAATGGTTGAAATATTATATTAATAAAAAATAAAATAAAACGAATCAACCAAAGCATTACAAGAAGAAAATGGAAAACACCATTGGTAAAAATTGTCTATCTCAGTGTGCAATCAATTTGTTTTTCTAGTATATGCAGCATATAAACTAGAATTCATTTTTAGTGTACTCAAAAAGTGAGTACACTACTAAAATCGGTCTGTGTGTCCGGCCGGCTGGCCGTCCGTATACACGATAACTTTCGAAAGGAGAGTCAGATCACGATGAAATTTTTTACACAGTTCAGTCTTTACAATATCTTGGTCGAGAGAAGAAGATGAGAAGGATCCATAGAGAAATGACTGAGTTATCAAAAAAATTGTGATTTTTGACTAGACCATCCCTGAGGGGGGGTTAAGGGGATTTTTCGAACAAAATTTTTTTTGCTCAAAAGTATTCTCAAAATACATAAATCGATTCAGTTTTTAACGCTGATTCTGAATTTGATACTAGTTTTGAACCGCATCATTGTTTTGTGTACTCAAAAAGGGAATATACTATAGAATAGTTCGTGTGCCCGTCCGTCCGGTTGACTGTTTACATGATAACTTTCGACAGCAGAGTCAGATTACGATGAAACTTTCTACACAGCTTAGTCTTAACAATATCTCGGTCAAGTTCGAAGATGAGAAGGATCAACCCTGCCCTTCCTGAGTTATTGCAAAATACTCCCTTTTCCCTATGGCTACCTAGGGGAAAATCGACCCATCCCTACTTTCGTAAAAGACTTTTCTTCTCATAGTCAATTAAAACCCCAACTATTATATACCATTCGATAGAGAATTCCAAGAGCTACAAAATCATATATAAAACATTAAGAAACAACAAAATTAACTCATCTGTTGGTAAGATAAATAAACGGAGGTCGGTTCGGTTTTGGTGCACGCTCCAATCGATCCTCAATAGGAAGTCTACCATTCTATCATAGAGGTGATAATCGAAGTTTTTCTAGTATGGAGAACTCGAATCAGTACTCCACTGACCTCGACGGCCCATTGGTTGATCATTGACCAATAGAAATCA